TTATGATTACCTAATTTGGAACAGGTGTTCTATATATGGTCATGGACGACTCGCCGTGTTTCCAGCGAACAGACGGATGAAGAACGTAACAGCTTAAATTGTTATGGATTTGCACAGAATTGGCACAAAAAAACACCTCTAGCAGGCCAAAAATGAAATTATACAAAAAATTTATTCTTTCAGCTTGCGCCTCTATTTATCGTGAGATTTGTCTGTCTCATCGTGAGACCGTGAGATCGAACTGAAAATCGTGAGTCTCACGACAAAATCGTGAGACTTGAGAGGTCTGTGTATGTGTGTATGTGAGAAGTCGCCGTGATATCCAATTTGAATTACGCTTGAAGAACGAGGAATTAAGATATGACTTTCAATTGCAATTTGAATTTCGGTTTACTGAAGAACGAAGAATGTATATTTGAATGAGTGGGACTGCGGGAGCAGCTATTTAAAGACGCATATTAAGTGGCCGGGTATGCTAAAGTTTAGCCTACAGCTTAGCGGATCCTTTAATTCGCTATACTCGCTCTGTTCCTAAAATCTTACAGAGGACCCTGAACCATTAATACTTTCGCCCCATTTGATGGTATAACGTAACATGCGAACAATGGGCAAAATGTCCGCTTATATGGGGTTTTGATAAAAGCAGGTCAGCGGCCCGCGGCCCTCGGCCCGCGGCCAGCGACGGCCCGACGGCCTGGCAGGCCGAAGGCCCAGCGGCCCGCAACGGCCTGCGACCCGGAGGTACGGTGGCCCAGTCTTGATTTTCTACAGTTTTTCGTCCAAGCGCATGCACAGATCTGCATCGGGTTTGGGCGTGCAAAACGGACGACAGTGAGTTTGAATTTGTTTACCATTTAATCATTTGAATCCATGTTTCTGTTTGTTGAGTTTCTTGATGGCGGGGTTTAATTTCTCACCTTTCGCCTTCATCGAAAAGTAATCCTTTTACACTCGATATAATGTATCGTATTTCTTCGCCCAACCTTAAATATGGAGCTGCCTCCTCGATGTCCGGCAACGTAACGTCGGCAAATCGATCGGTCGCCCGACTGAGAAGTAGATTTCGCTTGTTGACCTTGGTGACGATGAGATTGAAATCGAGTAAGTACCACTAAGACTGAATGGNGATGTTTCTTGTAGAACGCATGCGCGAACTAAATTTCCACCGCGAAACAGCCGTGTTCCTGCTTGCCACACACTCCCCCCACGAAAAGAAATGTCGTCCCGACATTACAGAAAATAAAAGACGACAATTCATGAGTCATCCTGGTGATAACTTGGGGGGGAGGTGTTAGTGTCCCGACTTCAAACTGCATGCAGTTCAATCATCCGTAGTGCATGTTGAGTTTCTGTTTGACAATAATAGGGAAACTAGTAAGAATTCAACACAGTTCTGTTCGCCTATGATTAATACGTGGAGCGATAAAATGCGACAATAACAGTGCTCAGTGCTGGTGTATCCATACGGGCTGTGGTATATACTGCAACTGCGGGATACACGGAATTTGTGGGGTGTGGTAAGGTATGAGGCAACGGCCGATGATCTGGTAAGGAGATGTAACTGTAGGGCCTTGGATTGAAGTTACTACTGGTTGTAGACGTGTATACTCGACCTCTCTCATTTGACTGTACGTCAAAGTCACTGGAGGTCGCCGCTCCCTTCGTGGTCACGTAGCCGCTCCTGAGTGGTCCTCCGAATCTGATTTGTCACTTACTGCGGGGTCGATATCAGATGAATCGTGGTCACCTGAATTTGGCGCCGATGAGCCCCTACTATCTGCATGAGGGTCAGATTGTTCGCTGGAGGGGTTATCTGACCTTTCGGTATAGCCTTCACTACTGGATTGATCTTGGGAGTTTATGACCGGGATTTCTGATATTATTTCCTCGGGGAACGCCGTCTAGTAGGGGGTCGGGTGGCACGGGATGTCCATTAGGTATTCATCATCAGAGCTCTCCCT